GAGTCTTGCAACAGTCTTGCAGTTACTTATTAGCTTATTACTATAGAGGTATTATTGTAATTTTTAAGATAGGAGAAACCTGCAAAAGTATATTGGTTATAACAATAACAACACATAGTAACTAAAATTTTCGAGTATTAGTAACTATTTTGCCTTAATTGTTATTCAAAAAGTCGATTTTTTTTTACCAGTTTTGATCTTGCTCTTGCTATAGTTAGGGCGGCCTTGGTCTCGGTCTTGTTCTTTGCAAGACCAAGACCTAGTTTGGGCAACACTATTCAATGGACGCGAAATTCGATGCTGTACAACTTGGCGAAACCTCCTGTAGAATGATTTTCTTCACATATCCGGAGGCGGTCATTCAGGCCCTCCATATAACATTTATATGTATGTATGTAATGTATATATATATATATATATATATATATATATATATATATATATATATATATATATAATATATATATATATATATATATATATATATATATACATAAAACCTGTACCACTACAACCCATGAAGGGTCTTGGGTGCAGTACTATTTAGGGAAAGCGCTGTTTCTTGGTCTACAGTTGTTCAAGGAGATAATTTGGCCGAGATCACGATCAGCAGCCAGGTTTTTTTTAATTGAGGGTACTCACTTTATAGAGGCTGGGTGTGTCCCAAGATGGTAAAAATCCAGGATCGTCCCACGGCCACTGAGCTATCCTACCCCCCTTGTATGTATATATGTATATAAGATTAGAAACATATTTATATAACTAATTTATCCGCATAACAAAAATATTTAAAATACTGTCGGCTATTATGGATATTAGCTTAAGTTATAGAAAAGCGGCCCTGACACTCTCTTGGTTATTGATATAATAAATCATTATTTATTATCTTTATTATAATAATTATCGGCTCTATTACCGACGGAGGGCAGTAGAAGTAGGCGATGGGGCGCGGTGGGCAGTCGATGGCCGGTAGCCATTGGCCCTCGGCCAACTGGAGGCAACTTGATAGTAGGTTCCAACCCCTCCGGATCTCCTCTATGGGCTTTTATCCTCTTTTTTGGAAACCTATATTTTGCATCCATATTTTAGCAAACACACACAATATATTTCCTATGCCGTCTCAGGGATTAATAATACACAAGCATAAATATTACTATAATTTTGAGGTAAATTATACTTAAGTGTACTCGAAACATTTTTTAAGTTAATTTTACAACTCCAAAATTGTCGATTATATTCAAATAACGTTAATAATAAAATCTACATAGCCTTGCCTTAATTTGTTATTAAGCATAGGACTGGTAAATGCCTAGAATTGTAGTAGTAACAGATTCAGGATTTAACTTTGGAAAGGGGCTATTTAGTTTATTTTTTTATTTACAAGGGTGCTCTAGAACAAAAATAAATTAACAATGTAATATTCCTTTTAGAGATAATTATTTTAGGGATTAGGTATAGAAGCAATAATTAACATGTTTTTTTTTCGTTTGGCGCTAGACCTTGAAGATCTTTGACCGCGAGATGTAGTCTTAATATCTGGTAGGGTCATCAGTTCTACCCCCGGTCGGTGTGAGTTGCCTACAGTAAGCTGGTGGGCCTCACAAACCGAGGGCGGGTTCTTGGGCAGCGTAGCTTTCCTTTGTCGACGGCCACCCCAAATCGGGCGGTCACCCAACCAAGTGCTAACCACACTCGGCGTTTCTTAACTTGGTCACCTATTGCAAGCGCCTTAGCCCCCACGGCTATCCCAGCCCATAATTAACAAGTAATAATTTAAAAATATATATTATGATTGTGTAAGTATTTAGATTGGATGACTCAAAGAAAAAATATGGGCCAATGAAAGGAGATTTCAGCCTCTCGTCAACTATGGAGTCGCCACTGGGTTGGGTGGAGGTCTCAGCCACAAAAAAAAAAAAAAGTCGAAATTATGATACTATGACAGTAACATCGGTCATATTGTTCCACTTATTTTATTTTATTAATTATAATCATTATTATAACAAGAATTATGTAATCAACATTTTAAGCCCAACGAAAGTATAATTATATAATAAGCCGGAGAATAAAGTAGAAAACTAAAGTGATTATAACCAGGTTTTGATTTAGTTGACTTTATTCTTTTTCGCTTTCAGTTAAAATACCAACCAAACAGTCTTATTGAACATTTACTCCTACATTTTGTTTGTGTTTTGAAAGTCAAAATACCGAAGCAATCTGAGGAAATTGAAATTGAAATTAGAAATAATTACATTTTCCTTTCTTAGTGCACGTTTTCAATGTATCAATCATAGGAAGCCTGGGGTGAATTTTTAAAATCTCTAGAACACGATTAAGAGAGTATTGGAAAACCTGCGACATCGGCTAAAAAAAACATATTTTTTTATAACTCTAAAAACTAGACAAACTGTTTATTGATACCTTAGGCAGTTTGTGAGAATACTTTTAGTTTGGCAGAATGAACATTGTATACTGTTTTTAATAAATACTTCAATTAAAAACCTAGTTAATTTGTGGAATTCCGTCTGGTTTGTAGGTTTTGTAAAATTGCTTTGTTCGAGCTGATAATTTTTTCTTGAAACTTTTTACTGTCATTCTGCTTAATTAAAAAAATATATAATCATTTAGAAAACTTATTTTACTTCGAATCTTTTTTGTTAACAAAAATAAGTGTTTTAAATCAAATGTTTACAAATACTGCGATTTAAAAAAACTTCTAAAAACCTCCGGAAAATTGATTTCTTACAACTTTTTAGCAGTCATTGTTAAAGATAAATTCATATTAATGATCACCTGGACATTAATATCCGCCCTTTCCTTTCAAGATAACGGCTGAAAAACCTGTGTTGCTATTTACTGTAGCGCCTCAACGAATGTACCGATTTCAATGAAACTTAGTTAAAATCTTCTCTTTGATGCCTTTTAATTATATGTATAGAACATAATTTACCGAAAAGTTCTTCCCTTTTCAAAATGACGGCCGAAAGACCTGTGTCGTATAGTGCCTGAACAGATGTACTGATTTCAATGAAACTTGGATAAATTTTCTTTCAAAACCCTTAAAGTTTATCTAAATAACATAATTCAAGGAAAACAAAAGTAAAATTATATTTCCGAATAACTCAAAAAGCATACACTTTTTTTTATGTTATATACAGTCATTTAAAAGTTTAAAAACTTTTCTAAAATATAAAAAAAAATCGTTGAAATCCGACAATTTATTGTAAAGATATGTTTTTTAAATATTTGTCTTATACTCTACTACAAAGCTTATTTCCTTTGTTTTGGTTTTGTTTTTAATATCCTGAAAGTTTTATATCAACTGAATCAACTTATTTTTTTTTCTTGAGGGAATTTTTGATGATGCAATTAAAAATTATTTACGGCAATATTAGGAAGCATCTTTTATTTATTTTTTTCATTACGTTACAAGGAAGTAATTTTACTTTTGATATATGATTGTGTAGAAATAATAAACCATTGTGTAATAGTTTGCAGCGTTTTTATATATTATATATAATATTTCCAAATTCCATCAGAACCGTATAAATCATCCAAATCCCCTAGCACAATCCCTATCTAGTTCCACTCATCCCTACAATCCTCCTCGAAGGTTGAAGCGGCAGTGGCCCAGAGATCTTTTGTAGTATATATATATATATATATATATATATATATATATATATATATATATATATATATATATATATATATATATATATATATTGGAGTTTTGCAATGGCCAGATTCTCCAGTCAAGACATGAGTGAATGTGGGTAAAGCGCTGTCGCTCAAATTAGAGAGAGAGTAGCGCAGGGATCTCTTTTCCCGACATTGCTGGAGAGAGCAGCCTTGCTTGGGGTTCACTGCCTGATTATATATATATATTGCATATAGGTATGACTGTGTTTATATGTTTTTAATTTACTTATCTTTAGGTTATTTTATTTTTTATTGTACATTGTTTTTGATTTTAATTTAGTTATTATTTTACTTTTGCTAATTTTATATTTTCTGTATATATGATGTAAATGTGTTCATATATCAGTATAATTATTGTCCAGGTGACAGATTATTATATTTAAAAAAAAAAAAAAAATTAAAAATTGTTTTCACACTAAACTATCCGAAAAAAATATGTAATATTATTAATGATCATGAATTCCACAGTATACATTATTTATACATATAAAGTGTACTTTCTCTCTCTCTCTCTCTCTCTCTCTATATATATATATATATATATATATATATATAAATATTATTCAGATACGAGATAAGAGAAGGAATGTGAAGAAGTCAAACACACTTTATCCTATACCTTCTCCAAAGTTTGGAGAAGCTGAACAGTAGCTCTCAAAGAAAGTCATTTATCTCACTAACTGTAATACAAGATTTACGCTGGAATTTTCCTAACCAAGCTTCCCATAAATCAAGTGAAAAACATAATTGTTCTCCAAGATTTCTTGGCTCGGCCTTTTATACTATTGAATCCGACATTTCCGCCTTAAAAGTTCATATCAATTAGTATAGCTCTGATTCAAGGAGTTGTAAATGATTGATATTTTATATTTAAAGAATTTCATAATGCATTAGAAGTGAAAACATCAAGGACGCGAGATAATTTATAATTATAACGCCATGGTTGCTTACATTATATTATTTCGGTTTACGCTATTATTCTGAAATACATTTTGAAAATACTTAAACACAGAGAAATTTGACGTTCTTGCATTACAAGTATTGTCAAGGTCAATATTTTTAAGATTATGTATGATAACGTTTAAATCATTATAATATGTACATTATATTCTTTTTATTATATTCTTAACAGATATACAATATTTAATACAAATATAATAGGTATAATATTAAAAAAAAGATGACTGATTAATCGATAAAAAAAAAAATTAAGAAACCACGCATCTGTTGTTTATAAAACACATGTCAACATTGTTAAATAACGTTTTAATAGTCGATTGTTTGCTATTGAAAATTTATCAAATATTCTCCCGATGATTGGAAAGGCAAAGTGGAAAACTTTATTGAGGTAACGCAAATTCTATTAATATTTTCGTTTATTTATTAAGAAATTTAATTAAATTTTTAATATATCATTAATTTTTACGGATTCCTTTAAATTTAATGTTAAAATAATTATTACTATAGAAGATTCGTCTTAATATAAAAAAACAATAACTCAAGAAAAACTATATCGACAGCCACACTGCAAATGCATGTAAGGACATATTCTTTGGTAAATGAGGTTTTGAGTTTTTCTAGTCAATCTTGTCGTGGAGCATATTCTGATACCACAAAATGAAAATGTCTAATTTATTTTATGTGGCCTTCTGTAAAAACCTATAATTTGAAAACTAGCGAACTGTGATGTAAAAACCTGTAAATTACAGTGAAGGGTATAGAGATTGAGTCGTTACCGAAAAACCGTAATGAAATGCACGATCAAAGATGGTTACATAAATATATAATGTATTAAGAGTTTTATGCATAGACTACAGTAGCAATTAGCTTTATTAATAAGATAAAATTAATTTTTCTCATACGCTTTGTATTATTTTTTTTTTAATTTCATATAAGTGACTTCCATCCCGGCACCTCTGGGCAAATCCCCGGGTTCTCTAGCGCTCAGGTCGGAACTGCTTATCATGGAACTATACGCAGCAAAGAAGAGATAGAAAAGTGAGAATATAATATTGAATGGTTTTCAAAACAATCTACACCTCCTGCCAAATGAATAGTCCGCGGTACAAACCCCTTTTTATCGAATTGTTAACATCCGCCTGAAATTTCAGAAATAGTTTCATCTCATCGTAAACTACAACTATTTTATTTACGAAAAGTCTTGGAATCGGAGTGTTTTCAATCTCGGGGGGGGGGAGGAGCAAACTTTGTCTATTTAATTAAGTACTAAAAACTCGTAAATACACATTTGCTTTCTACTTAGATCTTGAGGTAATTTGATCACAAAATCGTGAAAAAAAGGTGGCCTTCAACAATATTGAGTCGTTTCTCGTGGCCTTCACCCCCAAATTTTCATTAAAACGAGGTTATGTAGGACAAACAGTCCAATATTTTTGTAGGCCACCTTTTTAAGCTATTTGGTGTCCAAATTATCTTACGATCTAAGTAGAAAACAAATGTGTATTTACTAGTTTTTAGTACCTAATTAAATAAACAAAGTTTGCCCCCCTTCAGATTGAAAACGCCCCAATTCCAAGAATTTTCTTAAATAAAATAGTTGTAGGTTACGATGAGGTATTTACGAAGTTTCAGGCGGATGTTAAGTATTCGATAAAAAGAGGTCTGTACCACTGACTGGAGCTTGACTGAAAAAAAACTACAATGGTACCGAATTCCAGATAGTGAGGCACAGAGAAATGATTTCATTAATTGTAAAATTTAACACGAGACGAAAAAATAATTCTAGTTTCATCTTTTCAAACCAATGGATCTTCGAAATCGCAAGAAGCTAAGAAATGAAGTTATCTACACATAATGATGTTACCTAGAACTTTTATTGCATTCGTGAATCAAACCAAGTCCATAGGAATTTAAGTACATTAAAAACGAAACTTTCATAGAATACTACAAAATGGGGCGTATCCACTCCATTAGAGTGGGGGACCAAAAAGTCAATATCTCTATTCATTTTGAGCAGTTTATTACTGATAATCTAATAAAATTAACAGTACAAATGAATAAATAATAAATATAAACAAAATTCATTTATTCTTAGCCCTTTTGTTTTATGCATATTTTTTATATCTCATATGTATTTATTTATACTAATCATTTTGTTAATTTTGGTTTATTATTTTCAATAATCAACAATTGTGATCGACCAAAAAATACATCAAACTTAACTCCCTCTCAAAATTTGAGGTTTCGTGTTTCAGGATGCATAGAATTGGAAGAAAACGAATACAAATTTTTTTGTTCATATGCCGTCCGGGCATTTTCTTCGAAACTACTGGACCGATTTTTTTAAAATTTTAGATATAAAATCAGAGGTCACCCGAGGATAATCCTCCTTCATCGACATTACTATCTGCCTCTTACTTTCAAAATGGCGGCCGAAAAACCTGCGTTGCGTAGCTCCTAAACGTATGAAACTTCGGTAAAGTCATTTTATTGACGTCCTTTACATTTATCTATATAAAATACGAAAAGAAGCTGGAAAAAAAGTTACGAGGAATGGTAAAATTTAATTCCGAATAACTCAAAAAATATACACTTTTTTGTCGATATTGTGATAAGATGTTTCAAATGATTTAAATTTCCAAACAAAATTAATCAAATTTCATCGAAATCAAAGCACTATTAGTAAAGATATCGCGATTTTTAAACATTTTTTGTTTATGGCTTTTTAAAAGTTTACGCAATTTCTTAAATAACAAAAAAAAAATCGTTAAAATCAGCCAATCAGGAGCAAAGATATAGTCTCCAGTTTATTTTTATATGTTCTACTCCGAATGTTATATCCTTTGTTTGGTTTTTAAATTTCGAATGTGTTACTGAAGTAATGCTATTTTTTTTTTAGCATATTACTAATGATTAAAAAAAAAGGTTTGGTCCAATAATTGGAAGCATCTTTTAGTAATGTTACTTTAGATGTATAGTTGTTTGGAAATAATAAACCATTGTGAAATAATTTGCAGCGTTTTTTTCTTAGTATACTATAATGTTTATATTATTATTATTATTGTATGCGTAGTTTCCATCTCTTTATCTGAGCTTTTTTGTATACTTCTGTGATAACTTATATTTCTGATGTTTTTTTTTTTTTTTTTTTGCCAAATGAGATAACCCACATGCTTAGGTCTAACCGTCGCAAGCCTTATAAAATATATTTAGAATGCAAATCCGGGTTTTTATTATCCTAACAATTTAAAAATAATATTCAAAAATATATCCATCTCTAAATTGTTATTTTTTCTTAAACGTGCCTATTTTTTAGTTATTAGAAATATGCTTAATGTTATCCAGTTATATTGCCGCCAGTGAGGCAAGTGGTTAGATGTCCTTAGTCCTTTCCTATTGTATTGTACCTTTCCTCGTCCTGATCCTGGCGAGGACCTCATTTTCCTCCTTCGCCGCGGGGCATATGAGAGGATCACCAGGTCAGGTATTGTGTATATCCTTTCTCTGGCTCTGTCTCTCTTTGTATATATTTCCCTCTTGTTTAGGGCCCTTTACAGGAAAAACGCACCCATCTCGAATCCCAACAGATTTCCTTAAATTCATATTTTCAAAACAACAATATGAAAAAAATCAAATGAATTAAGAAAGAATATGTAGGTAGCATTCACTCTTAATCATACATCATCCACTGAAATATTATTCAATTAAATTGAAATCCCAGATAAAATAAGATAGTTGGGATTTTATCTAAACAAAAGAGTAACATAGAGGACACACATTAGACAAAAACGAATGAAAGTAAACCGACGGTTCGATACTTTATCCAGGTTACATGACAAACGTTCAAAATTATATATTATCGACAAGACGTAAATAAAATAGTCACTGAAATATAAATTTACGAAATGTTAAATAAAATAATCACCTATTTATTTTATAAATAGGCCTATTTAAAACTTTTAATTGAAAAATAATTGAAATTAAACACGATAGTAATCTGAGATTACACCTCCAATGCTGCATTTTAATTTTCATTTATATTTATTTTTAGTTTTTGTTTGCAAAATATATTTTAATAGGAATCCGAAAACTTCAAACATCCTCAAAAATTAAAAGTTTTGAGAAAAACACCCGCCCGACGCACTGTTATATTTCACAAACGACTTGTTACACAAACACTTGCACTAACGGATCCAGAATTTAATTTTTATTTGTTTTTTTTTTTGGTGGGGGAGGGTGGCTTCAGCCTGAAAGATTTTTTTTAATGTATATAATAGGATAATTACTTCGGAAGAATGCAAGAAATAATTACCTATATGATATGGTGTTTAAGGGAGCGGGGTGGCCGAATGGGCTAACGTGTGTATCCAGCACCGCGAGTTGCCCGGCAACCAGATAACCAAGTTTTGAGATTGAAAAGAAAAATATGAGTTCGTGTCCCGGTGCCAGAGGGGATTTTATATTCCCCGCCCTCACTCTCCGGCCTGGGAAAATCCCGTATATTCTAAAAGGCGAGGTAGAGAAAAATAAGAGATAATTTTTTCATAAATCATGGTCATATTTTACTATTTTGGGATGGGAGACTTCAGTCAGAAAGCTCCCCCCCCCCTCGTAGATCCGCCTGTGAACACTTGGACATTCGTACAGGAGTTTCAGATACTGCAATATAACACTATAAAAACTTATACTAGAGACAGACTTGCACGATGAACCCATTAGCTCAAGCACTTATTTCCACCACAAACCTATACATCCTACACTGAGGACTTTTAAGGCTGTGCTTAAAAGATTTTTTAACTTAATACTTACATATGTGTGATGTGTACAGATTTTCTTGTAGCAAAACTTTGAAGATGATAAATTTCAAGCCGGCCGGACTTATCTATTGGTTTAAATAAATATATTTTTTCATAAAAAAAATAATAAATTTTGGATTGGAAGCTACAACCAGTGCTTGCGTTTGGGTGTAATGCTTGTAGAAATATAACGACATTTTGAGCGAATGGCGGGGCCTATTCCGATAAGTTAAATTATTCGCAGAGATCCTTCTGGGTGTTCTGGAACCATTTCAGCTCAAAACATGAACAAATTATTCTATAAAATTTGTTTTAATAGATTCAATAGAAGGTATAAAACGATTTTTTAAAGAAATGGTTGGAACGAATTTCAAGTTTGTTTGTTATATTTTTTTTTCAGAAATCATTATACTACAATATTTAAAAAGAGTAAAATAATCAAATTAATTGATATAATTTAATGAATAATGTATTTCAATATTTTTAATTTCTAGAAGGGTTATATAATTAAATACAATAATTAGTACTACAGAAAAACAGCTAATTGTAAATCTATTGGAATCTCTTACGAGTACTTAAACAAAGTCAAGGGCCCAGTTTTAGGGTCCTATAAAATGAGAAACAGTGTGATAACAAAGTCGGCGAATTAGCTCCTCGCTTAATTGCTACTGTTAGTTTTATTCCCTATAAATAAACGGAAAAGGCTAAATGTGTCGAAAGCTTTTTTATAAAGCTTATATAAATATAAATAAATAAAGACGATGATCAACTATATATATTTTAAGGAAGGAGATGGTCCGGGGTTCTATTTTATTTAAAGCCAACGTTTCGACCCGACTTTGCAGGACTTCTTCAGGGCTAGAACGGACAAGATACAAAAACCTATAGAGAATTGTGGAAATTATATCATATTTAGATAAAAAATTATAAACAATATGAATAGACTTGTTAAAATTATAAACAATAAGTACGTCAAAATATTAAGAACAATAAGTTGTATAAACAGAGTAAGCTTAGTAACAAGATCCTAAACTGAATTAAATAGATGGTAACAATTGTCGTAGTATGATATATAATATAATATATGCAATTGTAAATTTATTCCTACGATTGGAAGAAAAGGAAAAATGATATAATATGAAATAATGGACATAAAGGGATGTAGAGAAAGAAAATAAAAAAGGAAAATAAAAATATGTACTTCTATCTATAATTTCTTAATTCTATTTTATATGTATTTCAAGACATGAGTGTATGTGGCTAAAGTGCTCTCGACCAATCTCGAGAGTAGCGCAGGGTTCTCCTGGAGTTCCTTCGCCTGATTGTAAATAGTGTATACAGTTATGCATGTGTTGTTTTTTTTTTTTTTTTTGCTTAGTTTTAATTTTCTTATTTTTTAGGTTATTTTATTTTATTATCTATTGTATATACTTTTGATTATCATTTTGTTTCTATTTTTTTTATTTTTTTGTACATATAGTGTGAATGTCATCCACCTCACTATAACCAATGTCCAAGAGACAGATTGTTATAATACTCAATAAAGAAATAAAAATAAAAAAATTTATATGTATACGTATATATTTATAATTCATTAGTTCATAGATATAGTATTTTCTCTTGTATTCATCCATATCTTCAAATTTTAAATACTGTAATATTCCAGATTTTGTTTTACTTTTACAACTTACCCCCCTGACCTACCCCCAATCAGATCAGAAAAAAAAAACCCAAAGGGTACTTACCCAGGTTTTCCAGTTCTAGGTGAAACTCCTTGCTGAACACACCTATAAATCTCTATTTTTATACTTCTAATTTTATTTACTTATTTTTTGTTTTGTTTTTTCTTTCTCCACATTCCTTTATCTCCATTCTTTTTTTTTTTCTTCCAATCTCTCTTGTATATCTGTAGGAGTATATTCACAATTGCATATATCATATTATATATCATAGTATAACTACCGCCACCCCGGACCACCTCCTTCCTTAATAATACAACGGTCAACTATTAAGTATTCTATATATGTTTTATTATTATTATTATCATTATAATGGTATCTATTATCTTATTTTTCTTATATTATAATATTTTTGACCAGTTACTGTCAAAAGTAATTGTAAAGGAACAATAGGTTTATCTACTTTAAATCAATTTAATACTTTATTTCGTTTTAGATTCCTCCTTCTTACACTTCTAACGGATCACAGTATGTGTGAAAGCGTATCGGAAGTTCCCGAGATTCTGGAAATGGCGGAGGAAGTACTGGAAGCGGAAGGAGACCACATCAAAGGGGACACGGACGAAGGACCAGACATGGAGGACATGTGGATCCACTACGCCCTACTCGACTTGGCATATTATCTCAGGTCGCATAAGTTCAATGAATACGACAGGAGGTATCATATTATATAAATAAATAAATATATATATAAATATAAATATATATATATATATATATATATATATATATATATATATATATATATATATATATATATATTTCTTCTTCTTCGGAGCTATAGGACTCTTAAACTATTCTCTCCTCATCTTATACATATAATAACGAAATATATATCATATGATGGTATGACAGTATAAACAAGCATGGCAGACATTGAACTTCAAGCCCATATCATTTTTCGTATAGTCCGTGGTACAGACTCATTTTTATCAAATTAGTAACATCCATCAAAAACTTCGTAAATAGATCTCATCGTAACCTAATATTTTATTTACGAAAATTCTCGGAATTCGGACGTTTTCAATCTTGTGATCGGCAAACTTTGTCTACTTAATTAGTAAAGTGTCATTGCCCTTCAAATACAAATTTATCTGTTCTGATATTAGAGGAGTTGAATTTTCTTAAATATTAAACGTTTTATACTTAATGGCTTGCTAAATATAGAATACCTACATGGTACATTTAATATAAAGATTAATAGGTACTCGTTAAACGTTTAAATTCCCATTAAATTTAAATTTCAGGTATGAATCCCATTTCAAATATAACATAAAATAAATAAGGTATTTTTTAAGGTTTATTTAATAAAAATGTCTGATAGTATGATTCATAAAATAAGTATTTCCAAAGCTATCACAATAGAAGAAAGGAGTTATAGGAACCAAAAGTTAAAAGGTAAAACAAACACTAGTTTTTATTCGCTTTAAAATATAAACCGTTGACTAAATTAATATTTTGTATATAAAACAACAAACAAATTGTATTACGGTGAAATTTATTTTGTTTTCTAATTATCTTCAACACACTTCTCGCTATGTGCATATATATATATATATATATATATATGCACTATATATATACGTATACTTTATTTTATTTTTTCTTCTCCTAATCTTTACGCAATCTTAGGGAACATATGTATATCATTTTGTTTTTGTTTTTACAATTTCTTTCCTTACATATTAACAGTTATTATTATTTTTTAAATTTTTATATTCTATCACTACAATGCTTTTCCCTATAAAATTTATTTTGCATTCCTTTCTAATTTCATTCAATGGTTATTATACTATTGTTTTAACTAAAATATTGTAGTACTGAACCCCTATTACCCAACTGTTCTCGTTAATTTATCCTAAGAGCTTAATTAATACTTAATTTATTACTAGTATTTTGTTATTATTCATTGTAATAAGTCTTTTGGCCAGATTTATGGTTAATTTATATGAACAATACTGTTATTCTAAAGGGACCTAGTCCCAGAATAAAGATGATTTTTCTATTTATATTTAAATTTTTTAAAAATTACAACTTAATATAGGTAAAAATGACTCATAAATATGTTTAAGACTATTAACATTTCACCATATAATGAATAGTATTTTCATTACATTATTTTCTTAACATTCCGTAGTACAGATCCATTTTTATGAAAATATTGACATCCGCCTTAAACTTCGTGGATAGCTGCATTCATTCATTTATAAATATTTTATTTAAAAAACTCTCGGAATTGGGGCGTTTTCAATCCGTTGATCAGTAAACTTTGTTCATTTAATTCGTTACTAAAAATTCATGAATACATATTTATTTTCCACTAGAATCGTAAGATATAACAAAAAAAAAAATGGTGGCCTACAAAAATATAGGTCCATTTGGCGTGACCTCCACCCCCAAAATGTCAAAATAACGAGGTTATATAGGCTAAATGACCCGATATTTTTGAAGGTCGCTTTTTTTTTTCGGTTTGGAGATCATGTTATCTTTCGATTAAAGTGAAAAGTAAATGGGTATTCATGAGTTTGTAGTAACAAATTAAATTAACAAAGTTTGCCGATCACCGAATTGAAAACGCCCCAATTCCGAGAATATTTTAAATAAAATATTTATAGATGAATGAATCAGCTATCCACGAAGTTTTAGGCGGATGTCAATATTTTCATTGTCAATAGTCTTAAATATTTTTATGACTTTTTTTACCTATATTAAGTTGAATTTTTTTTTTAAATTTAAATATGTTGTTTTATATAAAAAAAGTTTATTTAGTCAACGGTTTATATTTTAAAGCGAATAAAAACTAGTGTTTGTTTTCCCTTTTAATTTTTGGTTTCTATGACTCTTTTGTGTCCTTTCTTCTATTGTGATAGCTTTGGAAATATTTATTTTATGAATCTAACTATTAAACATTTTTATTAAATAAACCATTAAAAATACATTATTTATTTTATTTTATATTCGAAATGAGATTCATACATTGAAATTTAAATTGAATGGGAATTTAAACGTTTAACGACTATCTTACTAATCTTTATATTTAATGTACCATGTAGGTATTATATATGTAGCAAGGCATTAAATATAAAACGTTTACTATTTAAGAAAAGTCATTTTCTCCAAAATCAAAACAGATAAGTTTGTATTTGAAGGGCAATGACACTTTACTAGATTTTTTTTTCGAATCTGGAAGTTAAATTAGTTCAACTCCCTTCTGTTTTTCTTTAATAATAATTTCAATTTAAATACAAAAAAAGAAAAAAAAGGAAAAAAGAAAGGCTTCCATCAGGATATCCGGAAACCCGAGACTTTTTTTCTGTTCATTGTCCTGCTTTCAAAATAGAACGGCTTTTGAAGGGATCTCCTCCTTTTTATTCCCCTACCTCTACAATATTAATTCTGTTTCCAACTCAGGCCAGAAATTCTATTTAAGCTATCGATTTTTCGTTCAACTTAACATTCGTTACTACATATATATTATATACATTTCTTTGAAAATGGCCTAAAATCTGAAAAGTTGCTGTAAATAAAGAAATAAAGTAGAGTAATGAGATGTTCTTAAAAAAAATTAATGTTGAATAAATGTTTTCCTGATACGAAAAGATAAAGAGTTACCGAATCAAATAATGATAAAAATGCGAGGTAAAAACAGTTTTGTTTTTAGAATTTTGTAAATTACGAAGACGGATACCTCGGATATAATAGAAGATGAATATAGCCATTTCTGTTGAAAATATTGTCAGTTTTAATTTTACATTAAACATTATTATCGATAGAACGAATAGTTTCAGTAATATAAACGAAAAAAAAATGTATAATTGTGAATAGAAATCCACGGGTATTAGGAAACTGACTATTGTTTCATGTCTTAAGCTAGTAAATACTATAAATTTAAAGGGGTTGGTAGCTTTCTATGTCTATGGTGGTAAAGGGGCATGTATAAGTTCTCTAGATAGATAGACTGTCTATCTACCTTCACCTGGCCGACATTATTTATTCCAGCGGATATATGCTGACAGATGTGCATCTTTCTCATCAGGCCTGGGGACATGGTGAATTTATAAGTGCCTTAGTCTGAAATAGGACTTTTGGACATTTCATTCATAAATTGCCAGAGAAATAGGAAAAACTAGTTGGCCTGTGCGAATAATTTGCAAAGAATTTTAATCTGTTAACAAATGACAAAAGGAAATCAAATTATTCTACGTAATGTCCATCATACTCAGCTAATCATTCAGCATAAGATGAATGAATCATCACCTAATTTTTGGATAATTGTTTTGCAAAATATGTATACTTTTGAGTTATTAGAAAATAAAGTTTATTTTCCATTAGAACTTCCATTAGAACTAGCGCACACACATGCAAAGCTTCTGGCATGACTTGATAACATTGTCACAAAACAGCAAAATTTTGGACATTTCATTCATAAATTTCCAGAGAAATAGCAAAAACTAGTTGGCCTGTGCGAATAATTCGCAAAGAATGAATGAATCATCTCCTAATTTTTAGATAATCGTTTTGCAAAGAATTAATACTTTTGGAGTTATTAGCAACTAAAGTTTCTTTTCCATCAGAACTTTTTTTTCCTATATGCTCAGATTTTGTGTAAAATATTTTTATTTTTCAATTGCTATGAGAATTCGTATAGGGGAGTTTTACGAGGTGCAAAATACATATCTCAACTCTTTTTCTCCTAATAAAAATATTTGAAATCACTTCACTCCTTTGGCCATCCATTGTTTCAAATTTACTAATTTCTAATCGATTTTTATTTATTTTTGTCATAGGAAATTCAGCAAAATTTCCAGTAATCATAGCTACACTCGACAAAAAATGTATACCTTTTAAGGTGCTCGCAAATAATGTCTCTTTTCCGTCATTACTTTTTTTTTTGAAATTTCGGGGGGTGTGACTATTTTTCCCACCTGAGGGATAAGATCTTTAAAATGATGGATCCATCATTGGATTTGATTGGAGTAGCGACAAAAAAAAAAACACCTTTGAGAAATAACATATAAAGATGCATAGCGATGGACAATATTTCGAATAAAATATCTTTTTTCATTGTTATATGTATTCGTATATATACGAATTCTGGTTTCATATTTATACACCTAATATAAAATAATAATAAAGTTTAAGGCACCCGAAGGTTCGATGCCGATACCACTAATTGTATGTACATCTTTCCATCAAACGCCGCCAAATTAATCTTAACGAAATCCTCCCATCTTCGCTTCAGTCTACCCCTCGAATACTTACCAGTCGGCAGAGCGTATATTAACTTTTCAGAAATTCTTTCGTTACCAAGCCCAGAAATATTACAATTCTATTTTAATTGCCCAGCGTATACATGTCAAATATATATATATAACGTTTTGTAACAGTTGAAATTCTTTGATTGACTCATCCTTCTTCGATCCGAATATTCTACGCAATACTTTATTTAACGTTGTTCTTCCCTTAATGTAAAAGGCAAAGTTTTGCATCCATAAAGAATACCTAAATATAAACAATGAAATACAATATAATACCCCACATAATACAATAATTCAAAATAATACATCTGAATATAACGAGCAATAAAATGACAAATAGTAATAAATAGCACTAGTAATAAAGATAAATACATGGTGTACAATATATAACACATAAACA